ACAATATCAAGTCACCACTAATCCTATAATCCCACAATATAAAGTCACCACTAATCCTATTGTCCCACAATATCAAGTCACCACTAATCCTATTGTCCCACAATATCAAGTCACCACTAATCCTATTGTCCCACAATATCAAGTCACCACTAATCCTATTGTCCCACAATATCAAGTCACCACTAATCCTATTGTCCCACAATATCAAGTCACCACTAATCCTATAATCCCACAATATCAAGTCACCACTAATCCTATTGTCCCACAATATCAAGTCACCACTAATCCTATTGTCCCACAATATCAAGTCACCACTAATCCTATTGTCCCACAATATCAAGTCACCACTAATCCTATTGTCCCACAATATCAAGTCACCACTAATCCTATAATCCCACAATATCGAGTCACCACTAATCCTATAATTCCACAATATCAAGTCACCACTAATCCTTTTGTCCCACAATATCAAGTCACCACTAATCCTATAATCCCACAATATCAAGTCACCACTAATCCTATTGTCCCACAATATCAAGTCACCACTAATCCTATTGTCCCACAATATCAAGTCACCACTAATCCTATTGTCCCACAATATCAAGTCACAACTAATCCTATTATCCCACAATATCAAGACACCGCTTATTCTTTTGTCCCACAATATCAAGTCACCACTAATCCTATTGTCCCACAATATCAAGACACCACTAATCCTATTGTCCCACAATGTTAAGTCACCGCTAATCCTATTATCCCACAATATCAAGTCACCACTAATCCTATTGTCCCACAATATCAAGTCACCACTAATCCTATTGTCCCACAATATCAAGCAATATCAAGTCACCACTAATCCTATTCCTATTGTCCCACAATATCAAGTCACCACTAATCCTATTGTCCCACAATATCAAGTCACCACTAATCCTATTGTCCCACAATATCAAGTCACCACTAATCCTATAATCCCACAATATCAAGTCACCACTAATCCTATTGTCCCACAATATCAAGTCACCACTAATCCTATAATCCCACAATATCAAGTCACCACTAATCCTATTGTCCCACAATATCAAGTCACCACTAATCCTATTGTCCCACAATATCAAGTCACAACTAATCCTATTGTCCCACAATATCAAGTCACAACTAATCCTATTATCCCACAATATCAAGTCACCACTAATCCTATTGTCCCACAATAACAAGTCACTACAGTTCTATTGATTAAACAGATTTAATATTTAGATTTTAATAGATTCAATTTGACATCAATAGATTTAAAAGCACGGACGGTTTCCCTGTATCGTTGAAAATTGAGCCCCGCTGAAAACGGGCCTGTCGCGGAAATCTTTATCTGCTGAAGGAAGTCCATTGAAAACTGACGCCGTTCAGATCAAAAATATTGCGAAATCAATATTTCTCTTGAGAAATATTGGTGTCATCTGAAAACCCCTCTGTTGATATCATCATCCCTACTATTATCTTTATTTCCTTCATCATATGTTACGTCATTACCCTCTCTTGCTTCACCCTTGTTCTTCTGTCCCATCCTCACCTTACCAGGTGTTCATAACTTGTCACAACGTTTTTCCTATATGATAGAGAAATGAAAGAATTGGTTTTAACATTAGCAAGAATTTATGACTAATATAATATGTGATCTATCTATTGGCATGAACATAAACCTGCAGTGTAATATGTGGAACTAAAATAAATTAAAAATAATATAAACCTATCTGTACTGATTTGTATAATAACCCCGGTCCCATATTCAACATTGAAAAGGGACAATAGAATATTATGATACATATGTTTGACTACATCATCAAAAATGACCCTGGTTCCATATTCAACGTTGAAAAAGGGCCCCAGAATGACAACACACATCCTTTGTTATGTTACATATTATGACAAAGGATCACAAACTGTGCATTATATCGCTGTTCATCATCACAGACCTAAATATCAGAAATCCAGAAATCAAAGTTATGACGTACATAAATTTTAGCATAAACTCTCAATAATATAACATCAGTTTCACCTCATCAACCGACAATTCCGAAAATATCCTGGTAAATTTATTACATGTATCTTCATATATTTTATAATCGTTCTACATGTAGCTTCGAGTGAGACAAATAAACAAGGAGTTTATTATAATTGTAACAATGGATCAATAGTCAAAATGTTTAATTTAAGTATAAAGTATAATACTGGTGTGGTAAATTTATCAAATTAAAAAGGTAAAGGGTTATTTCTATATACATGTATGATTGTAGAACTACCGGATACATTTCAGATTAACATCAGATACATAGAGTAAGGAAAATTTATCATAACATTCTGGGGTCATTTTTCGATGTTGGAGATAGACCCATTGTTACGTAACTTGGTTAATTCAAAGAGAATAGAGTCATGGTATTATGATGTCCATTTCAATATAGACTATGGATCCGGGGTCATTTTTAAGAAAGAAAAAAAAAGAAAAAACAGGGAAGTGTGTGATGACCTGATATCTCTTTTACTATGTGTCTTTTTTTCAGCGTTGAATATAGAACCGTGGTCGTCATCATAATATCGCAAGGATTGTACGTCATAATATTCTGGAGCCTTTCTTCAACGTTAAATGTGGAGTAGGGATAACTGGTACAATAAACACTATCCAGGATTGTACGTCATAATATTCTGGGGTCCTCTTCATACGTTGAATTTGGAGCCATTTGTTTTTTATTCTTTTTTTGGTGCTTTTTGTAAGTAAAATATCAAGGAGCGTGCGTCCTAATATACCGGGGTCCCTTTTCCAAGACAAATATTAATGATGTGACAAAGCGGGCACTTGTTTAACAACAACCAGGTTAAGACCAAAATGGTCAGCCATGCCTAAATCTCAAATCTGGCGGTATGAATGTATTCGTCCTTCCATTTCAAACAAATGTAACTTAAGTTATGGGGTGAGGATTTTGACACCAGGAATAAAACAGAATGGGCTAGAGATGAGCCAGAGTCAGTTCTGAAATGATGTGTTATGACCTCCGTGCACTAGGGATGATCCGAGGAACATTTTTTATCACAAACATGTATGTGGGTAAAGTGAGGGGATACCAACTGTTTACACGCTTTGACTCTCGGGCAAAGACCTCCTGGACTAGGGATGATCCCGGAACAAATTCCTAAGTTATCCGTGTATTTATCCCGCCATTCTCAACAAATATATACATTGTGTATGTGGTTATATGGTGGAAATCTCGACTATTTCAATTATTAAACCCCCGCGCTAGGATCCTGGGGGATAAGAATGACCAGGGTTCAATTCCTAGGTCATTTGTTTATTTCACTCTCACTTCCCAAAAGTACACGTGGTTATATGGTAGATATCTCAACTGTTTCCAAACATCGCCCCCCCCTGCACCCCCAACCCCTAACCCCAAGCCAAGACCCCAGGAACTAGGTATGATCCTCAACCAATTATGGACGCACGTCATATATCTACATTTGAATAGTAATATGGTTGAAGGTTCCATGCTAACATGCTGACTTTGGGTTCACGTTTCAAAAAGGTCCATTTTCAATGGGTGGTAAAAATATCTTTCAGTTACGATCCATTTTCAACGGCTAGCGGTTCCGTCTTTTTCAACTTTACACCGATTAATACGACCAGAGCACTTAGTCCCAGTTACGTTGATTCAAAATGAAATAATTCTGTCAAGTTTTGATATTTTTCATCATTTCTTGATTATTATGTTGATATTGTTAATATCTTACTAAACAGGAAAGAGTCATGGCAAAAAACACCGATCCAATCTCTCCGTTGCTATCATGCTGATTTCAAAGATCCATGATTCGTGTATTTTAATCATAGCACTGTTGTTATTATATAGAGTGTGTGTGGGGTGGGGTGAGAGGGGGAGGAGGGCTTTGTGTGTGTGTGCGTGGGTGCGTGCGTGCGTGCGTGTGTTCTACGTAAAACATCGATTCTCTACGTCATATGACATTTTTTTTACTATATGTCCCACTGTGTCGACTCCGCGATCTTCAAGCTGGCACCAAGCACACACACCGCTCAGGTAATTTTCACTTACTTCGCTTTCCCGTAGTGATGTCGCTAAGTGAGGTAATTTTCACGTACCTCGTTTGGTGGCCTTGCCCACACTGTGTTTGTTAACAGTTTCGTTAAAGGGAGGTGATTTTCAGTACCTGTCTAAGCTGATACATGTAGGTTATTTCCACTCTGTTTGCCAGCACAATTTCGATGAAGTAAGGTATTGTGTTACCATTTTCTCTTTATTGTGGCCTTTTCACGCGTGTTCTAACGGAATACCTTATTTAGATGTATCTTTTTCATAACTCTCTTTGCGTTGTAAAACTGTTATTTACGTGAGCGTGTGTATATCATTTTGTATCTTATATGGCCAATGTATACACCTAGTTTCATGATCCTTGCTTTGTTATGAACAAAGTTATGCCCCGAACATGAAAAGTTGGATGGAAAGACGGACGGACAGGAAGGTCGGATGGAAATGTTGTACAGTGTACCAAATTCATGGCCCACGTCCCCTCAGTTACAGAGTTATTGTCCTTTGTTGATTTTTTTCTGTTGTCCTAAGCAATATTTTGCTTTCATTTAAGCTGGGACACCGAAACTTGGTATATAAATATGCGAAATTTAGGTTCTGCAGCCCATAATTACAGTTATCGCCCTTCGTTGGAATTTTGCGTCCAGCTTTATTATTTTCGGAGAGCTTTCATCAGTTCTACTGATACTTTTGTTTCAAATAGCTGTTAATCGTTGAATTTTGGATATCATTTACTATTTCTTGGTTAAAATATATACAGTCATTATAGTTCTCGGGCGGTACCGGACTGTGGCAGGCGGTATGTGGCAATACCGGGACTGTAATTAATATCACCACTTTCGGATTCTCTTACAAGCTTCTGATTGACATTGATCCATGTATCGTGAACATGTGTGCACGGTTATACAACTACTCGTTACTCAATTAGAGGTGAAAATAACACCAACAGACTGAAAACTGGAATTTGTCATTTGAGAACTGTCAGGTGATATTTCACACGTTTACTTGTACAGCTCACTACAACTTTAATCTCAGCCATTAGCCTTTTACCCGATGTCCGTCAGCACTTAGGCAACTAGGACAGCCGAAAAAAAGTCCTTCAAACTCAAATGAGTTTCAACACTAGTACCGTTCCAAAATTACCAATGATCGTGTAACTGTGGTAAATATTACCTGCAATAATCGCTAGACTAGTGAGATCTCTTCAACTCGATTAGTTGAACACTAGCGATAAATCCAGAGGTCCCGGGTCTGTTCGCAGGGAAAGATATTGAAATGAATAATGACCACTGTTACATTGATGCCAATGTTGTTGCTGCAACCCCTGGAAATTCAACAGGTTGGGTACAACCCCTCATACAGGTATATAGTCCTGCATGTGAGGGATAAATCAATAAGTTAGTCAAACATAGGGTCATTTGAAAAAGTTCTTTTAAACATTTGCAAGAAAAAGGGTGTGTTCTTTTCTTGACATTGTCCAAAAACCAATGCAACATTGTTCATTTTTACACAAAAAGTTGTGAATTAAGTTGCCTCACTTTTCATAAAAACACAAACTTCGTCAACTCCATTGATTATCAACTGCTTATAGTGTGGCTAAAAATAAACCAAAAATAAATTCGTGCTCACTTACATGACATTTGCATTAAATGATATAAATTGTCACTTTAACACAAAGCTTGATAACAGACATGAACGTTTCTTAAGCAATTACATTCATTGTCACATTGGCTATTGAGTCATGTTATAAAGATGACACCTTTTTGTTGCAAATTTTTATACACACTTCATGTGTTTCTATTTCAGAATGACCCTGCATTTAAGGTATTAACTGATTATTCAAAGCAGTAATTACTATCCCTTAAATGCAGGACTAGTACATATATACCCATATGAGGAGTTGTGCCTAACCTTTTGAAGGACCAGTTCTTTCCTCGTGGGATAGATGTAACCTTAGTGAATATCAGTCATAATGTACCGCTTGGATAGAGAAATCCTCTCTTTAACTCAATCGGTTGAGCGTAAACCAGAGGTTTGGGGTTCAAATCCAAATTGAGGCATTGAAAAAATTATCTCTATTGCACATGTACCTAGTGTGTTTTGACGGTCAATACGTAGCCTGGAAATATAATATGTGACAAGATTTTGTGCTCTGTACCATTTATAATTGTATGTCATGCTATATTGAAAGGTAAATTGATTTATATGATTTTAAATTTCTAACATTCTTTCCCCCTTTTTTTCTCTTTTATTTGACAGGACCTTGTGATCCATACTGTTAGTGAAGATGCGTGTCATTGTTGGTCTTCGCTCGTTCATTCGTCCTGTTTTAGAGACATGGAAATGTGTTTCTTCTGTAAATACAACCATTCCTAGAAGGTGCATGGATTCAACACCTGTTCGATTTAGTTCATATAGGAATTTTTGTGACCAGAAGTCACAAGATGAAGTTGAGGTAGTCACAAGTGAGAAGCAGGAACAAAATTGTCGAACAAATGAGGAGGGTGGCGAAAAGAGCAGAAAAGAAATCACACTTCCAAAGTCATTACCTTTGCCATCCAAAGAGTTCCTTGACAGTTTGAATGATGCCCAGATGAAACATTACTTGAATATTACAAAAAGATATGAATTTCTGTTGCAAAAGAATGCAGAATATTTGAAGGTGTGTGTATTTTGATGACAATATATATATTCTAATCTACGCTCTAACACACAAGTAGCTTAAAAAGTTGGTAATCTGTAGCCGAGGTTCCAAATATTAAAATCTGTTTGTCTAGATCTTTTTATTGGTAAATATTTTGTAATGAACCAAAATATGCTCTTGGTAATTAAGAAAATACTGACAATTTTGTTTAAAATAAAGTCTAGTTTAGTTATGTCATAGTGAAATACAACATTTTCATACCCCCATCTATAATTTTGACAGGAAATATTACAGTATGGTGTTGTCTGTTCATTAGTCTCCCACCATTTTTTTATTATCTAAAATCTTATCTCTTAGTCTTTGAAACTTGAAACACTAGTGTGGACAGTATATTTAGAAGTTCTGAATGGCATCTTGATTCAACATTATCTGATTAAAATGCAGATCCTAATTCTCACTCTGTTACTCTCTATATTTGGATTTTAAATCATTTCATAACGGTTTTGAATTGCATCTGAATAGATTAAACACATTCTGAAAGATGTTTTGCATTCTAATCATCAAATTTTGAAATTTTGTAGGACTTGTCTCAGAAATACAGAGTAGTGTGGAATGTTTTGATACATTACAAATTTTGAAAAGCTATTACCCTTTCTTCATTATTTTAATCTTGTTAAGCGAACATCTTTCTCAATTTGCAGCTGATCTCTAGAATGTTGTAGGCTAAATCGTCATGACAATTGCATGTAGTTGAGCTTGCTGACATTTTGATTTGATCATCATTGTGAGTGTTTCACTTTCACTTTTGCATTAGATGGACATATATATTTTTCCATTGGTGATATAAATATGTAGTTTTAGTTTCACAGTGAGCATTTTTGTGACCTTAAAACTGGTTATGTAAATGCTTAACCCATGTGTGAATCTGATGATACCAAATGTTATATGATATGAACACTGATGAAATCAATTCCTCTTTTTTCCAGTTACCAACTACTTTTACAGATTCAAGTTGGAGAAAATTGTTGGAACATGGAGTATCTCGGACATCAGATGTCTTAGAATTGCTCTACTTCAAGGAATTAAAGAAAAAGAGGAAAAAGGAAAAAATAAAAGAAGTAAAGGCAGAAAAAAAAGACATAGTGCACCAATATAGTAAACCACAACAGATTTCAATGAAGGCATTCACCATCCTGAATGCATACCAAGCCATGGAGTATGGCCCAAAGCTTATATATGACTTTGGTTTTACAAGTAATACTGAAGTTAGTCATATTTTCAAAGAAGAGTCACGGATCAGAAGGCAGATTATAGAAACGATACATGGGAACTCAAAAAAAAGATTCCCATTTCACTTGGTCTTCTGTAATGTGAATAAAAAAAATCGCAGCATGTTGGAGGAAGAAGCTGCTGGGGTCCCAATAACGATCACTGAACGTAACTATCTAGACTTATTTGAACAGCAGGAACTTGTATATCTATCACCAGATTCCTGGCATGATCTGGAAACATTCAACCATGAGGAGGTATACATAGTGGGTTGCATTACAGACCTGGTAACCAAACCTTTCACCAAAAAAAAGGCACAAAAGCAAGGCATCAAACTTCGGAAATTTCCAATCAGAGAACACTTGGGGTGAGTTGTAATGCCTGTCAACACTTTAATTTAGGATCCTTTTGTCTACGATCAGATGCCATGAAAACTTAGTTTGATAGCAGATATTCTGATATGGCTGTAAAATTGGTGTTAAATCCATCCACATAATGATCTGAATAGCTGTACAAATATTTGTTCCGTTTTGTTTTACAGAAATACAACCTCCTGTCTTCTGACCCTGAACCAAGTGTGTAATGTACTTCATGATTTGAAAGACACTGGAGACTGGAGAACAGCTTTAAGACATGTTCCTCTACGCTTCCAAAAATAGCAAGTCTATTGAATAAAAAAAAGTCTGAAAAACCACTTTACTGTTGAAATGATTGTATTATTGATAATTTTTATTGTGATATAAAATTTTACATAATAAGAGTGTCAGTGAAACTGGTGAATGCTCTGAAAAACAACTTTATTGGTCTCTAAATCTTTAATTAAGGGGTTTCTGGCATTGAATTTGGTACATTTTACATCCTCTTAGTATGACCAATGTATATGCCAAGTTTCATGGCACTTATTCTGTAATTAAGTATTCTGTAACTAAGGGGTAGGAGGCCCTGAATTGCGTACACTGCACATCCTTAGTATGAAAAATGTATACACCAAGTATAATTAACCTAGTGTTAAGCTCCAGACACAAAATTTAACAAAGGGCAATACCTACTGAATCAGTCCATGTATACCAACTTCAAAAGCATTGAATCAGTACATGTACACAAATTTCAGAGGCATTGAATCAGTTCATGTATACCAACTTCAGAAGTACTTAATAAGTTCATGTATACCAACTTTGGAAGCAATGAATCGGTATGTGTATACCAACCTCAGAAGCATTGAATCAGTTCATGTAAACCAATTCAGAAGCACTGAATCAGTTTGTGTATACACACTTCAGAAGTACTGAATTAGTACATGTGTAACAACTTCTGAAAAAGTGAGAATGGTACATGTAATACCAACATGGGAAGCACTGGATCAGTGAAGTATACCAACTGAAGTATTGAAATGGTACATGAGAATATAATTACACCAAGAGTAAAGGGTTACAATCAAATTTTTTATCCTATCATCTACTTATCATTTCTAAGATAAACTTGACATTTGATAATAACAGTGTCTGCCCATTATATTGCCTCATTAAATATCTAGTTATTATTCTCCATCCGATATGCACTTGATCTCGCCATGGTTTAGAGTAAAGAAAGATCCTTTCATCAATCCATGGCGTTGAAGCTCTGCTGCAACCTTTTCTCTTGGTTCCAAATAATGCTAAAACATAAATAAATTATATTAAAATTTGTAAAATGTACATGACCTTTCTTCATTAATATGTACAGGTTCCTTAAACTACAGATTTTTACTGGATTTTTAATCTCTTGATATGTAAAGAATGCATAGGATGTTTTTAATATATATAGGATCTTCATTCTCTTCATATATACATGTATACTGTTTTCAAATTCCACAATGTGTTCTGCCAAAGTTTCATCCTTTGTTTTATTCCAACAGATTATTGGGATCTTAAAACTCAATATGTGCAGGATCTATAAAATCTAAACAGTGTAGAAATAAGTGCCGCCATATTTTATAAAGAGGATCAGTATACTTAATAAAATCTAGCTGTTTATTACTTCACTGATTCTATCTATTAATACTTGATTCCCATATATAAGTCCTGTCTTAGCCATGAAAATATTGTTACTTTTATTTTTTTCCAATTAAAATGGATTTTCTTCCGTTACCAAAATTTCTTGTCTTGGCACATTTCTTGTGTGAACTTTTCCCCAGTTGATTGTGAAGCATAACCAAGTTTCTGAACAAAGAGTGCTATGTCCTTATAGTGTTGTTGGTTCATTGTCAAGTTGAATGCATTCTGGGTAAAAAAATGAATGGTTGACATTTTTAGGATTATATGTGATTGGACAAGAGGGAGGAGGTGATGATACTGTAACAGCCTGTTATATGTGATTGAACAGCTGGGAGGAGTGATGATATACTGTAACAGCCTGTTATATGTGATTGAACAGCTGGGAGGAGGTGATGATACTGTAACAGCCTGTTATATGTGACTGAACAACAGGGAGTAGGTGATGATACTGTAACAGCCTGTTATATGTGATCAAACAGCTGGGAGGAGGTGATGATACTGTAACAGCCTGTTATATGTGACTGAACAACAGGGAGGAGGTGATGATACTGTAACAGCCTGTTATATGTGATTGAACAACCAGAAGGAAGTGATGATACTGTAATCTTGTAAGAATTCTTATCAGTGGGAATTTGATACCAACCTCAAAACAGCCTAGTTGTTTGAAGGTTCCCCAATGTATTCCAACAGAATGTTTAGATTTGGTGTCAATGTGAATCTGAACAGCTTCCTCTGGGTTAACATGCTGAGGATACATAAACCATCTACAAAATCAAAATAAACAAAAACAGTCAAAAGATACATGTATACCAGTAATACATTTCACTCAACTTTTGAATGAAGAAGACAAAATTACTTTGTTAAATGTTGATTATAAAATTTCGAATAGAATGAAGTCTGAATTAAATAGTCTTGTAAGTGAAACACAGAAGGGTTTATAAAAGGTAGATATATTGGTGAATGTACCAGACTACTTTATGACACGATAAATAAAACAGAAAAATATCACTGGTTTACTTTTGCTTATTGATTTTGAGAAAGCTTTTGACACATTACAATTCAATTTTATCATTGAAGCACTTTGCTTCTATGGTTTTGGCCTTTCAATTTTAAAATGGATAAGAACTTTTTATAATAATTATTGTTGTGTTCTGAATAATGGACACTATTCAAAGTACATTGTGGGGTTAGACAGGGTGACCAAACAAGTCTGATTTTTAAGCTCTGTGGTAAAACTGAATCCTAATATTGACATTCACTTTTTAAGATGATCCAAATTCCTTAAAATATGTTCTGGAAATTTTACATAATTTTGACAAGGTCTCTGGTCTGAAGGTTAATATAGATAAGGTAAAGGTAATATGGATTGGGGCAAAACAGGGAGAAGAAATATTACCAGAGAATAACTTGAAACATGATAAGATGAGAGAGCCAACACTCTTGAAGTTTAAGAAAATGACAATGTTCCTGAATGGATACCATGCGGTATTCACTAGAGTTCCTTGTTATGTATGTAACATATTAGTAAAACAAAGGAATCTCAACATCCAAGAACGTTTCTTCTTTTTATTCTGGTATGGTAATCGTCGACATGTTTCGACCACTATGCGGCCGTCATCGGGACGACTTTACAACGTAATTTACCCCTAAGGTGCTGATTCGCAGTTTAAATGATGGCGTAATACTTAACAATACTTAATAGTGATAAATGCAAAAAGGCAAGTACATTTACAAAGTGGGCGTAAATATGCCATAAACTCTGTGGACTTGTTCGTTTATCAAATGTTCAGACTTTTCATCTAGGCAGATAGTGTCATTCAGGTTACTGTTTAATACTGTATTTTCAGTTATATAATTAAAAAAAAGTGATGTCTGTTTTCATATGGCTCTTCTTCATTGATATCAGAGAAGTATAGGTCAAACATACTGGTCAATTTTTCAAACCTTGCGACCACCAAACAACATAATTTACCTGCTAACCTGTAAGGTCCAGCTTGGTTTAAGGAAGCCTGGTGTGCTTGTTTGTTTGTATCCAGCTATACTGAGTGAAAAAATCATCTAATACAACAGAGTAAATCTTGTTATGGGGACAGCCAAAACATGAAGGCTGTCAAAAGTATTATGATGCCAACATTCAGCATTCACGTCATTATATTTTGGAAGTCTAGTGCTGGTGGACAAGTGTAAATACATGTTTATGTATCCATTCAAAAATTTACAAGTCATCTTTTTGTTCAAATGTATACCTTGGTTCATATGAGCCTATTGGTATGGCAGCTAAAGTAAATGGGCCATATTTCTGTCCAATCTGCTTAAATCCATCACAGTAGCCTGTGTCCCCAGCAAAGAAGAAGCTGTGATTCGGCCCTTTTACAACCCAGCTTCCCCACAAAGACTGAAATGCAACAAACACTATCTGTTAATGTTTTCCAACATATTTCATTGAATATTTCTGCTATATCCTACATCAATAATTGATGTTAAATACAATTTCACATGGATACAATAATTATAGTTACATTTAATATACTGAAGAAATACAGCCTTTGTTTTCAGTTACGTTACTTTGCATATTACAACTGTAATTTTGTAAGAGTTATCTCCCTTGAAATATTTCGCAATGGAGAATATAATTTCTTCATTTTACAAATCTGTCTTTTGTGATTGTCTAAAGCTAAATCAGAAATGCACACACACAAAATAATCCATGAAAAATGACAATAACCAATGATCTGGAAAGGCTGCCAATTCACAAAACACCTTCAGCTTATTATGGTAAAATTAATATATTAGTAACAAACTTTATTTTCATCGTTCCATGATCTCCTGGACCAGTGCTGAGTTGGTGTAAAGGCTACAGTTACATCTCCCTGTTTCCCAATGATTTTCTCTTCTTCCCACCATGATAATTCTGTCACACGATCACACCCAATACTTGTCATCCATGCTTTCAGTCCAATTGGTACAAACCAGTGCAGATTTGGGCCATACTTGGATATCAGTTTTTTCACAGACCCCAAGTCCAGATGATCGTAGTGATTATGGCTTATCAGTACAATGTCAAGGGGAGGTAATTCCTGTATTGTACAGGGTGGTGCCCTGTACCTCTTAGGGCCCATACGCTGTGAAGGTGAACAACGATCACTGAATATTGGGTCGGCAAGGATGGTTAGACCGTCCAGTTGAACTAGTACTGTGGCGTGACCAATCCATACCAACTGTACACAGGCAGGGTCAGGGTTCTTCAATTTCTCTTGGTCAAGTTTTACCAGGGGAAGTGTTACATCCAATTCCTTGAAGACAAAATCAGCATTGGTTGCAAAACAGCATAATTACAAATTACCAAAACGTTTGTATTTAAATGTCAAAGGTTTTTAGTTACTGAGGCAAATATAATCAGCTATTATAAAGTTATATTATAAAGGAGTCATTTTTTCTGTAGGAAATGTAAAAAGGAGTTATTTTTCTGTAGGAAATGTTAAATGTTTGCATATTTCAATGTATAGTTTTGGCCAATTGAAAATACAATTATCTACAAACAACCCAAATGAACATGTCAATGTAACACTTTCAAAACAAAGATATGAAATATCCAGAGACATATATGAACAAACTGTTCTTTGTAATCACCTTTTGATATCTAAGTACATTGAAGCAATAGATACTACATTTCATCTTTTCAGATATTTGCATTTTAAACAACTCTACAACTATTTGATTTTTTTCTCATAAATATCTTTCCAACATAAATCACAAGTAAAATATGTTAACGAAGTTTGGAAATGCGCTAAAGTAAGCCCTCTTATTAAAAAGTACAAAACAGAGCTTTTATGAAATTACAGGCCAATTTCAATACTGCCTGTTCTTATCAAAGTGCCTTGAAAACACATTCATGTTTATTATCATGATTTTTTGAATGTACATAATCTGATATAAGGGCCATACATTTGAGTCTGACTGTACTGATAAATATTACTAATACTTGGTATGATAGACAAAACAGATTTAGAAAGGCATTCAACCTAGTGAACCATTCAGCACAGGCCCAAGCAAAATCACTGTACACTGTGAACCCAAAACCTTAATAATGATGCCAAGTTTATATCAAAATGGTTAATAAAATGTGAATAATTACAGAAAAAAACAAAGCAACTTCAGACAGAAAATATTGGTTATAGGGTGACTTATCTGTTGTTATTGGTGATGTAAATATTAAAAATGTTAAAAATAATGAAAAACTTCTTGAAGTGTGTCGATAGATACATGTACCTGTCTATCCTGCAACCATCATTTTGCCAATATCTGTAAAAAGATATTGTGTCAAATTTTTCAGATGAAAAAGATGAGACAATTTATAAGTCAGTTATCTCGTACGACATTTTATAATTGTTTTATCAACTCGTACATGAATTGCTGCTCCAGTGCCAAAAAAACATAACACTATAGTGTCTGCAGAAGAGAGCAGCATGAATGATTTAAACTGTGATTTCTCTACACTTTGCTGTGATATATTTAAGCACCTAAATTGGTTGCCTTTTTGTAAACAAGTTTTATACCAGCAAGCTATTTTAATGTACAAGGTGTTCAATAATTTTACTTGCCATCTCACAAAACAAACAATTTTAGACACGTGAGAAATTCTACTTCTCTTTTAGCTTTTAAGAAATCTGCAAAGAAATTTTATATGGAATGATATCTCCCTGTCCCTGTACTTTACTTGCATATAAATAAAGCCCATTATTATTAATATTATTATCATATACAAATAACAGTGACAAATATTAAATGTAAAGTACCTCCTGGGTTGGTATGTTACTGTGGTCAACATCTCTGATCTTGAACTTCAGCAGATTCCACAAGGAAGGTTTATGCCATGTTTTCCAAGGATTTTCATATTTTCCATTTTTGTATAATGGCTTTGTGAGTTCTATTTCATTATCTTGTGATGCTTCCTTTTCCATGTTCACTAATGTTTGATTTGTTTTGCAAATGTGTGACTAAAACTGGACTTCCAAAGTCGTGAAAATGGTATTTTTGCATGGATCATTTGTGACTAACTATGACTCGGCATATTGTACAAATATATATCGGTACATGCATTGTATCTGCGTTACTAAGTCTTTTCCCCTCCCGGCACCAATATTTAGATCCTTGTTGATGCCTCTGGAAAATTGTGACGTTCAAAATCCCTGTTAGTGCTTTTGGTCATTCCACGACGATCTTTTAAATTTGTCACTCCTGAGTAGTTCAGAAAGTGAAAATTGCACGTTGTCACATCGAAACTGAAACTAGCCATCGAGAATTGGTTTTACGCGCACCGTCGTCTTATAGCGGTCTAACCGATTGAACGCCAAAGTTTCTGAATGGAATAAATATTCAAATCATGACTCAGTGTTAATTAAGCTTTGTTTTATTTTTATTACTTCATATTTTGAATTATTATTCAAGACGATGTGTTTATTAGCTCCCATCAAGGATTCAAACCTTAAATGCTACATGTTTTAATGAATTGTTCGAGCGATCAGATTAAAAGAAAGACTGACTTTCAAGACTCTAACTGATGCTGATTCCGGACTCTCAGCCAAGCCTATGCTCACGGTTAGTGTAATATTATGATAAACGTAATCCTTTCAGTATAGATTTTGACATTTTCTTTCAATCACATTAAAATTTACCCAGTCTCCTCCTTGATTTCACATAAAGATCCTTAGTATCACTGACGAATCATAGAAAGTCGAAACAACTGTATGATGCAGTTTATTTAATTGTTTGGTTCTACTGTCCCTGCTGTTGACTATTAGCCACCGATGTTTGCCGAACATGCATGCCATGTTTTAATTCATATATACACATTTAATCAACACTCTTCGAAAACTATCAATAATGTGAAATCAAATTATTGATATTGTATGGCTCTGGCTGTTGCACCTAAACGTCAGTTTAGATTTGACATTTTTCGATCACTTTAGATTATCCTCAGTCTCCTATGTTTCAAATTACTGACGAATAAAAGAAGGACGAAGTAATTTGAATCACTGTTTGGCTCACTGTGTCTCATCTTAACTTCAATTTTAAGTGTGCTATCTACTTATGTGTCTTTTGTACAATCTATACATGGCAGCAATTATACCAAAGTAGCACAACAGTTCAGTGAGATTGGCTCAGATATATTTGTGAGGAATATCATACATACTGAAGTGACAGACTGAAATAATGGAATGGAGTAATGTCAGTTTATACATGATGCTAAGAAGTGGATCAGTGCTCGTTTACAAATACAAACATGTCACATGTGAATGTGAAACAGATATTCCGCGTAATCGACGAAAAGATTGGGCTTGATCATAACGTTTCCGTAATCTTATTATTAGTACGTACCCCCGAACAGAAAGTGCGTTCCGAATGGAGTGAAGAAAAGCTTTGCCAAAGCCGATGTAGCTACCGGGTGCCCGCTTGTGTTTCGATAATGTTCTGGTATTAATTTTATATGAATGATCTTACTGGAACTGTAGGTAAAAGAAAAGAAACATGCCCCTTCCAGCAGCGTTGTTAGCACGTCTACAGAAAAGAGGAATTGTTCAGGAGAGAGAAGAAAAAACGGGTGCGTTGCCTCCACATTCAGTCTAATAGAGTTACTTGCCCTTCGTACATGTATTTCGGTATATTTTTGTATATTTGAGTGAAATACCAAGGACGTATTAAACGTCCATGGAAATACCAAGATAAATACGATAGGGTCTAACCGAAACATTCGGTTTTATCAGTAATGTCACAGGGAATTGTCTAGATGAATTTATTAACACATACATTGTAGCTACCAAAAACCAAAGTGAAAAAACTACGTACCATGTTGGAAACCAAAAATCTTGAGTGCAAGGAAGCCATTCGAAATTAAAATGGAAATATGTATATATAGCGTTAAACTGTTTTAGCTGAATCTCCAACAGGTCTTCTGAACTTAAATGATTCCCCATTAACTTAAGCATGTCAATCGTCACTGCATTAATGGTCAATATCAATAAGTTTTGGTTTTCAGAAATGGTGGAATTCTTAATGAGCAATGGAAAATAATTTTATAATGGCGAAAAAAAAATATGAAAAGTCTATGAGTAAAAATATTTTGGCATGCTAATGAATTATTAATGGTAAATTCAGACAAACCCAGAAGAGGGTCTTCTTCAAAATAATGGCAAGCCGTCATCAGACTGACGGTTATGTCATGCACCGTAATGTACATAGGAGTTTTTGTTTATTTTTTTTCTTAACGATGAAACTATGTACATGGTTTGTACATAGAGAGAATGATTTAGAATGTACAGGAAACATATGATACAATACCCATCAGTTTTGTTTTACCGAAGTTTTTACCTGCAACAGGAAGTTGTAATTAGTGACACTGATTCAAATATAATAGCTAGTTAAGACTATTCCATGGTGTCTACACAGAGATAACAGGTATAATTAACAATAGTTGATGATGATTAATGGAGTCAAAATACTAAAACCTGTTTCCAAATTTAAATCTTCCTTGTGAAGTAATGTGAAATATTTGTGATGCAATAGGATTATGTGTAAGGTCTGTACAGTATTTATCAGCATCAGACACTGAAATGTTGTAGCTGCAGAATATGTTATTGACACAAACTATGCAGTAGATGGTACCTCTGTGAGGTTGTAATATACTTATTGTTGTCTTGTATTTGCGCTGAAATTACATGAAAAGTAAAAAAGAAAAATGATATTTGAAATAATGGCAATTCCACTAATAATATAAATATGTGTTGTGATCTTGCAAACTAAATCTTTTGCTTGTAGTCATTCCAACACCAGTTCCAGTATCAAGTTCGGAGCCAGTTGAAGAGGTTTTTGCTGAAGATTATGATGATCCTACTAAAGATCAGAACTCCCATCCTGAAGAAGAAGAAAGTCCTGTAATTATCCCTGAACCTGAAAATATAGGGCCTCTAATCTGGGTAGTATCTGCATGTCCAAACAAAGATAACCCTTACCACAAATGTGTCGCATACTGCCATGAGCGATGGGGGATGGAAAAGTTTGAAGCAAGCGAGGAAATGTTACGAAAACGAGATAGAATGCTAAGAAGGTATCCACTTCCTGAAGGATGGGAGGAAGTTGCAGATGCTGAAACGTAAGACTTTTCTCCCAAAACATATTCCTTTACAAATTTCCCCTTTCAGTTACAGTTATTTTATCTTCAATGGTTAAGAAATACATTATACATGTACAAATGTTTTTGGTTTTTTTTGTTAAAATTATCCATATTTTCTTGAGAGGATGAAAATCAGTTTTGATAAGGAAACTTGCGTGTATTTTATTGTATGATACAATGTACTAGGTGATCTCTGTATAGATACTGAAAATCTGGTTCTTGCCTATCATCTTTGGGTTGTTTCCCTACTTCAAGGTTTGATATTTTGAACGGCAGTGATAAATGTGAATTAGTGTATTATTTGGAAAAAATTCCACTGTGTTTCATGAAAGTATAATATCAGATATTGAATGTCCTTTTGTTTTATTTGTCCTTCAGCAACAGGTATTATTACTGGAATGTATTGACTGATGAAGTATCCTGGCTGTCACCAACTCATCCCTCGGCAAATGTCACAGTTTCAGCACAGAAAGTCAAAAGTGAGGTTCCATAAATGTTACAAACTTGACATGGTATTTTATCACCAAGATTGATTCATTCAGCAGCTACATTTTTTCAGATGTTATCAAGAATTCTTTATTCATTTATCCACGATGTTTTGAGCCTTTCAGAACAGAATGATATGAATTATGTGTAAACCAAAAAATGAAAATTTAAGTAGGTTCTTGGAATATTGATCTGTTTGCTCATAATTGTAATCTTTTAACATTTATGATGTGTTATTGTATCATGTATCTTAAATTATTAACTTTGTACATTTCTCCATTTTTTTGTTCTCAGGTATGTCTATGGACATTTCTGCTCGTCTTGATGGTTTTGACAGTGAGGAAGATATGGATGCAAAGTCGGAGAGTGATCTGGTACATCATAATGCTTGCATTTTTCAAGTTCAAATATTTTGGTTGCTAAGCTTTAACTTTGATAGAGTAATTTGTCTTTAAAGGTATTTTATTCTATTGGAAAGAGATGTTGATGTGTCAGTAAGATGGCTTAATCCTTTGATGTACATACTGCAAGGTAAGGAATTATCTCTCCATGTAGATGAATACAACTGATTCCATGTTTTTGGTAACCTTTGACATATTTTTTTTGCATTTTTTTTAGCATAAAGATCTGTTCAAAATTTATTTTTATGTATTTTCCTTAGCATAAAATATTATTAAAAATTTGAACCTAATTAAGTCACAAGTTATTGGTGAAGTACTACATGGTATGGCCCTGACGATGTTCTACATAAATGTGATGTTTTCAGATGATATTTTCAAGGTGTTAAAAACCATTGATTTTTTCATTGAACATGTAGGCTGACATAAAGTAGCATTTGATCTGTCATATCCAAAGTTTTTCAGATTTCTAACCCTAGATCTTTAAGATTCAGATAGCAAGAAATTTAAAGGACTTCACTCGTGCTCATCACAATCTCAAAGTTCATCTAGTGGAGAAGATATGCTAGATTAACAACAGTCAAACAGCTTATTGTTGTTCAAGACAATTCAGAATTTCGTACAGGAATCCAAAATTTATGTGCTGTAATATCCATTCCTCTTTCTGGGTATGGTTTAAATTTCTCTGTCATCAGTTATGCCTATACTGTGTTATGTTCTAACAGAGCCCATCCTCTAGTGATTCTGAGTCTGAAGAGGATGATGAAGAGGAGGAGATGGAAGAAAAGCGGCCAAGAAGTGGACGAAATCAAAGGGATCAGGGTCGAGGACGGGGAAGAGGTGGGCGACGACAAAAGGACGAGCTTGATCCTATGGACCCAGCTTCATACTCTGAAGTTCCCAGGTATGATTCATGTGTTAAAACAAAATTAAAGTCTTAGAAGGAGAGGTAACCATCATAAAATCATTCTTCTGAAACTATGTCTTGAAAAGTCACATTTTGAAGATACCATTGTCTCATGAATGATCCGGATTATATGTTATTGATCAGTTTTGACCGAATTTCAATGGAAACATTATGGAGATATATGTAATATAAAAGGTAGTGTTACATAAGGAGGTTAGTTGAATCAACTTGAACTTAATTTTGGTTGACTGAACTTTCCAATTCCATTTTTTCCAAATTCAAGAAGTTTTTATGTCTCCCCCATGAAGTTAGGGAAGGGGACATATAGTGTTACCATTACCTGTCTGTATGTAGAGTTGTAAATAAAGCCTAAATGCATGGGTGGTCGGATTGTGCAGTGGTATCACACTTGCCTTTCACCTAGCCGTCCGTGGTTCGATTCCCGGAATGGATGTGAAAAGGTAAGGGGTCAACTGCTCGACCATGTGGGTTTTCCATGGGTACTCCGGTTTCTTCCCACAGTAAGACCCCAGGCGCACTTTCATACAGGCCAACAAAAGAAATTACTATAAGTTGGAAAAACTTGTTTATTATCAATAAAGCAGGTCTCCATCAGTATTCATTAGAGGCCTATCTCCGTGGGTATTTGACTTCAAACCCTATACAATATTTGGAAACATGAGTATGGATTTCCAAACTTTATAAAACAAAAAATATGACATGCCAACTTCGATTTACATACTCAACTAGTAAAAACTGCACCACATATCAGTGGGTCCACTTTAGATCTTGTATTTTACAGTCACTAAATCCATAAATGGTTCAATAGTGTTTTTCCAATTATTCCATTGTGGTGATAAGTTTATACATTAAAGAGTATTTTGTGCTGAAAATCCATTGATATGTGTTTTCAAAATAATGGACAACATATGAAATTCAGGTCCTTTAACAAAAGTTGATATCCAACTCGTGATATATAGCAGGGTCATTCATATTACATCTTACCCTCCTCCTTTGAATATTTGCAGTATGTTGACCATTTCCTACAACAATAAGCCTGACAGTTGGCTATTTACCTGTAATATGTTAATCAGATATTAAATTCCATTCCAATGCAGAATCTGCTTACATTTCTCAACAAACATTAATTTTCCAAAATGTGTTTAGGGAAATATTACTGTTGAGTTAAGTAGTACCATTGACAAATTCGCTATCAGATCCCATTCTGCCTTTTATTATTTGCCAATGTTTGCACTTAAACATCTGTTTCAAAATCCTTGTAGGCCTACCTGTGATATTTATTTTTTTGTTTGCATGATAAAAGTGTCAGTGATCCAACCCTTTCTTCTCCAGGGGAACTTGGTCAACTGGACTTGACAGACGTGGAGAGGCTAAAACTGGTGCTGACATCACAGCTTCGGGGCCTCTCTTCCAGCAACGTCCTTATCCAAGTCCTGGTGAAATCCTACGCCGAAACCAAGGCATGCCGAAGGAGTAATGATGAAGCAAGCCAGGGGCAAAGAGATTTAACAAGGCATAACATGGGAACTGAGGAGTAGAAAAAACAAAACTGAAATAAAATAAAATGTTTATAAAATTATTTCAATTACCAAAACAAACATGTTTTTCAGATATTTAAAATATTAAACATGAACCTGAGATGTGGACATGAAATGGAACATAAGATTATACAGATTTTAAATAATCATTAGCATTTTCTTTTATTTGGATTTTATGATGACAGAATTATTTTGTTCTGCCTTTTTTCAAACTTATTTATGAACTTTATTATTGAGAAAGATGAATGAAGTTGTGGTCACTTCAATGATGTTTTATAAAGGAAAGAAAGTGTAGTTAAAATAAATTGTCACTAGGTAGTAGTCTGGGTCTGGAAATGTCATACTGCATACTGAAGCTTTGTTCCATAGATGTTTACATAGTATTGTTATATGTACAAGAAGGGCCTCATCTGAACCTTGTTCCATGCAGCTGTTTTTACTGCAGTCACAGACATAGATGGCTGTCAAGAATTCATATAGCTAGTAATTTATTGTGCACAATTTCAATTGTATATGGCATGAGTTTACTTGCTCCTTTTAAAAGAAAATGAACAGGCAGCCTTTATCATCAGCAGATCAGTTTCATTGTAAATAAAATCATATCACTGATAAAATCTTTTAGTAATGTTTTCCATTGGACCTGTATCACTCTTTTGGTTTGATTTCTTCAAGTTTGCTTTATTATCCCCCGCTTTCACCGAAACTGTCTGTCACACTTTCATTTCCATGTTCTAACTTCCCCAAATATCATCCAGTTTGGGTGTAACTTGGTCAGCAGATGCATCTTGGGGTCATTAGGACTCAGATTGACTATCAGTGTCATCTGTTTATAATTATGAATACTAACGAGGTATCTTTTGATTACATTGGTCGGTTCATTTCTGTGCTCTTAACTTCCCAATCTGATTTAGATGAAACTTGGTCAGCAGATGCATATTAGGGCACATAAGACTGAATTCAGCAGTCAGCATCATCTGTTACTACCTATGCATACTAATTAAGTATCCTTTCATTACTTAGTTTTTGAGCTCCAACTTTCCTAAGTATAATCTGATTTAGATGTAACTTGAAGTCCCATAAATATTATCAGTTTATCATGAAACTATATCATTCTACATAACATTATGACATGTTTACTCCTAACCTCTAAAATATTTACTTACAATATGTTTGGAAAGTAGGGGATATAAATTCCATGAATTTGCTTTATTCAATCAGAAGGTCCACCTATGTTTCTCCTGTTTGGGCCCTTCCCCTGAGCAGCCAGACCCTAGATATTTATAAAACCGAGTTCCCTTCTCTCTAGACCAAATCTGGTTAAAATCCCTTCATCCCAACAGAAGAGGACAAAATTTAAGAGTTTTGCTCAATTTCTCCATTTGGTTCCTGTCCCTTGACTCGCAGAAAGTCCAGATACTCTATAGGTACAAAACTGAGTCCACTTAAGGATGCTCTTGACAAAATCTGGTAGGGTTTGCAAACTTTACTCCCCTATGTAACCCTATCCCTCTGTCCTAAAGGGAGAAACAGCATAGTTTATACAAAATTGAGTCCACTTAAGCCGAAGATCCTCTAAACAAAATGTGGTCTGAATCCCTTGATTCCAAAATTGGACCCTGCCTCTCTACCCCAGCCAAAATGTGCTAGACCCGTTTATACAAAACTGAGTACCTTTCACTCACCTAAGGATGCTCAATACCAAATTTGTCCGAAAGTCCATTCATCCTAAAAGACGAAGTAAATTTAAGATTATCTGTGCCCTTCCTTTCTTCAAAATTGAGTCCCATGCACTCAAGAATGCTTAAGACCAAATCTGGTTAAAATTCCTTTATCACAAGGAAAAGAAATACAAAATTGAGTCATTTTCACCTTTATCAGAGCACAAGGTTTTAAAAATTATTTTTAATTTCCCTATTTAGCAGTACCCCTCAAGCCATTGGGGCCAAGACCCTTCCTTTATACCAAGCTGGTTCCCCTTCCCCCAAGGATGCTTCTGACAAAATTTGGTCAAAATCTAATCGACTAGTAGCTTATTTAAGAAAAACTGACATGCAGACCTCGCATTACAGCACCGGTTCACCAGTCCTCTGGACCAGATGTGATCATGACCTTTTGTCTCTTGAATTGTTACCATCAGCCTCATGATTTTTCAGATCTAAGAAATATTGCAAAGTCGATGATCAGACTTTGTTGGGAAATTACCTCTGGAACTGACCATCTCTGGTAAGTTTATCTCTTTCACATAATACCTCAGTGTACAAACTCATGAGATCCTCATTCTCTTTATTGGTCACCTACAGTGTGTTTATTTTGACAATAAATACAATCCAATGACAATTACGTCGGCTGTGACTATGTTACTGTCAGATGTTAGACTGCCTCTTGTAGAAGTATCGATGGTTATAATGTAATAATTACTACATCCAATGAGAGTTTAACAAAAATAATATAAAGATTATGCAAGGAGTAAAAGAGCACCCCATTGTGTATACATGTTGAAAATATATTTATTTGAAATATACCAGAGTTTTAACATCAAAATAATATTCTTCTTACACCCATCCACATATCATTCAGGTTTTGGACTATAAATAGCTTCACACACACACTTTCTCCACATACTTGGTATGTATTTATAGAAATATCATTCTTGCACAAATATTTCACTCTGATAAATATTCACATTAGTATATTATATGGTAATATACATCTGTCACTACATAACTAAAAGTATTACCATAATGATACCCATGGATTTTACATTCATGCATCTCAAAAAATTCAGATTTAAATAGAATTGGCACAAGTATGTATGATATCACAATAATATTAAAACGTTCAAGACAGCTGACCCCAGTTCATGAAACTTAAGGAACTCTTTGATATAACTGCATCATAATGTTTAATAGATAACCCTAGAACTGTTGACTAAGAATCACCATTAAACCACCATGAATCTAACACTATATCAACATTATGTTAAAGTTCACATGTACCACAGGTACACCATATCTGTTATGCTTGTTAAATAATGATTAATAGTACAACAAATTTGATACTTGGCCAAGACATGTATAACCTACTTGATAAAGCTCAAAAAACGGAAAGATTCCAAATTTCAAAAGGCAGGTGACTTAACTAGCAAGAGTCGAGACATGCAGTATAAAGATAAGGCCCCACACGTTAGTGGTTAAACTAACTACGACACGGGGTCCATCTGTTGGTGGTAAGACTAACTACAACACCGGCTCCACCTGTTGGTGGTTATATTAACTACAGCACTTGCTCCATATGTTGGTGGTTACACTAACTACGACACAGGGTCCATACGTTGGTGGCTAGACTAACTACGACACAGGGTCCACACGTTGGCGGAAAGACTAACTACGACACATGCTCCATATATTGGTGGTTAGACTAAACAGCACAGACTCCACACATCGTTGGTTAGACTAAATACAGCACATACTCCACACGTTGGTAGTTAGACTAACTACAACACAGGGTCCATAAATTGGTGGTTATACTAACTACAACACAGGTTCCACCTGTTGGTGGCCAGACTAACTACTCCACAGTCTCCACGCGTTGGTGGCCAGACTAACACTATACAACACAGGCTCTGGACAGCTCTACATGTTTAAAATTGCCCATCCATTTCCTGGTTCAAAAATAGGTTACAATGCAGATGTATACATGTTATTTATCTCAATTTCGCTCACATAATTCACAAAACACGATAACATTAAACGATGGCGTCTTATTTCAAAGTTATTGAATCTCAACTTTTAACAGGTCCGACCTTGAGATCAAACATATCAGCATTGAATTATTTGATCCGGTCATGGATGTAATTCCATAAATATTTTGCGACATAAAGAGTTCAGCATTGACCTGTAGAATCGTGCGTTAACAAATCACAATGAAGCCCTGAGTTACCGCCACGTAAAGTTTCAGCCGACAAGGTTTAGAATACAGACAAATTCTGTTGATAAGACGGAGAATCTACCACTGTACTGGTTCTGATGCTGTATGTCGATCCCATGGGTGTAGGGACGAGGGTGTGACCCGGGATCACACTTAAACCCAAGGACCAGGCTTCGCTCCTATCGTCTCTCCACTGTGACGAGTTGGTATATCTATCGTCGCATTCCTGACACCGTAGTGGCATAAGAGGGTATCGCTGACTCGTCCCACCTGTAAATCAGCACGAAAGATATAAGCAGCATCTGTTGTTACTTTTATCCAGGAAGTATCAAATTCGCGAACCATTTTAAACGCGAATATAAATCTCCCACCAAAATGAATTGATAAACAGCAATTGCTATTATCTACTATTGGCATGTGTAAGGATCACAACACTTGACCCGTAATGCAAGAGATAAGTAACTTACATTGAATTACACAATATACTATCCTGTAACATGGGGTCGTTATATCGCACACAGAACATGTATTCCATGATGCGCTGTATCTTGTAGAATGTTTGAAAGGAATGTGTGGTTACCATTCTATATAATTCTATATCAACGAAAGACTGACAGTCGGAGGTTCACCTGTTCGTAAGAAAATGTTATTCATAAAATCTCTAAAATCGGTCCAAAACGAAGTAAAACGTGAAAAATTGAAGTAAAACCAATGAATGTTAGACTATTCCAGTGAACCGGCGGTTCAGACGCTAGAAGTTACACCTGCTTTTACCTAGATATCAAGACATTATTTTACACTTCAAACCACTTTTTCAAAAATAAATATCTGATTGTTCTGTATATCTTTGTTATTATTTCACATTATCAACAGATACAACAATTGGAGAATCACTCGGACGTCTATTGGAAAGTTTCCGTCATGATTTAAATATTTTATTATTATTATTATTACTAACACATATGCTCGATTCATGTTCCTTCCTTAGTATTCAAAAATGTTGGGCGGTCGTGTAAGCGACGACCAAAATATACAACTCGATTTTCTCATCCAAACATCACCAATATATTGATTTGGATAATTTTTCGCGTTGTTTTACGTCAAATGCCCTGAATCTGTTAACTTATATTTCTGCCTTGCTCAAAGTCCAGGTTTTTCTCAAATAATTTATACCGCTATTACAAATACTGTAAATCCTAAAAGATCCATTTATTTTCTCTGACTCGAAATTGAAAGAATTCCAAATTGGATATGAAGTGAAATTCGTTTAAAAACGAATCAAATAAATAATCAATTATTTGAAATTTGAAAACCATATCAGAAGTCAGTAAACACAGATCTTTGACTTGAATGGTAGATTAAAATAAGGAAGACCACGTGTTATTGGGTGTAGCAGACTTCTCATATGATTATAATCAGCATGGCTACCCAGATAAAATTTGTTTTTCATTGTCCGTGAAATATATACACATCTCACTATTGATGACATCGGACACCAGTAATAGCTAGCCAGGAATGTATACTTTCTCCTTTTATCTTCTCTCCTCTATAATAATGTCAGCTCTAGTTGGCTATGAGTTTACATAAAGCGGGCCATCTGGTCGGAAAGTCAGACCGCTTCCCCATTCACGATTCCTCAGTTCATCCTTAACCTGACACCAAACTAGAACCAGATTTTCTCGTGAACTTATTATAGCAATCATAACGATGCAGGCACCACATGGCTCACATGTAGTTTTATTTATGTGTTTAATTACTGTGTGAATGGTAACGATTTAGTCATAGTATCCCGCCCGCTTTACCCAATGTCCTTTACAAGTGAACTTTCAGCGCGATTTGTCATTGTTTATGAATAACAGCACAGCACAACATATGTACGTGTGTTCTTCCTTTACACGACACTATTTTTGAAACCCTTTTAAAGACTGTTTAATGAAAAAGAAAAAAATACGTGCCGATGACAGGGAGGGGGTATAGAAGAGGGTCGAACTTGATTGTCCATGCCACAATGAATTATTAAACGATGTAGACGACTTGGTTTTTGTATGACATAACTAAAACATCTAATTAATATTCGTTAAAGGACAGCTCGATTTTTCAATCCACGAAATGATTATTTATTTTATATTGACGGAACTATCGACAAAACCTACCATTACCACGTATTGTGTTTGACGCTGGATCATCCGGGGATGGGCGAGGCTCTTTCTTGGAGATGTCGGGTCGTTGACGTCGACAGCAGCACACGATAGCGACAATAGCAATGACGACACCGCATGACGTCACAGCAGCGATGACGCCTATAATAGGGACGATGGCCGTACAGCATTCCCCGTCCCCGTGAGCCGTAGTACAACAGCCGTATTTACAACCTTCACATTCTCCGTCGGTCACTACAATGTGAAAGTAGTGCAATTCAAAATTATCTCTGGGTCAATTAAACTTACATTGATCAACGATACGTTAAGTTCAATTCTCTATACAATGTCTATCCTCCGTTAAAAAGTGCTAGTCGAGACGAGAATCAGAACGTGTTTTCTAGTGTCACAAGTGATGTCACCGCATACACCCTTTACTGTAAGTATTATCGTGTTATTTAGAGATTGACTTATTTAAGATTTATCTCAACAGAATTGTTTTCATTTCAATGTCAAAATCATATATTATGTTACTTTCAGTTTTTTTTACATTTGAAATTCAATGCATATCATATCGACACTTTTTTTTTTGTTTCTCTTTTTTTTTTTGCAGGTCTGCTGTTGATTCCAGATAAATTCTAAGTATAAACATGTTTTCACGGAAGTAAATAATCAACTGACCTCTTCAACTCTCTCACAGCCTATCCTAAAATGTACACTGGAAGCTATTGTAGTAGCAGATATTAAATCACTTTACATAATACATCACTGTGCTATCATTCATAAGTCAGTAATCACGTGATCTCGGTAATTGCACCGGTTCAATATAAATATTCATAAATATCTATAAATGTTTCTCTATGCCTTACACAAATAATCTCTTTTGATCTCACGAGCACCAGACAATATCTGTTTGGTAAAGTAACGACGAAGTTATTGACAGAAATGATGGTTTTTTAATTGCACATTGATGTAATACCTGTCAAGTGCAGATTTCGGAAAACCTTTGGATTTTTCCATGTATTGCCATATTGAATCCAGGAGTTTAAGCTTAACGGGAATTTACTAGTGCGCGTGTTGTAACTGAATTAAAAAAAGCAATAACCGCCATCACAAAGGGCAGGTCATATTCAATAAGTTCACAACTAAAAATATCATTGCCGTATACTAGAAATCCCTCTTAATAAGATACCGTGTGGAAATGTCTATAATTCGGAAAAAATTCAAAACCGTGTGAAACATCGGTTTAGACAGGGTTCCTTGTGAAATCTGATGTTGGTGATTCCATGAGGTGACTATATTACCTGATGAACTCCGGTGACCTTATGGTACACACTATCGGTGGGGTACTTAAGAACTTACCTTCAGTTTGTAGTAGAACCAGAAAAAACACCACTAGCATAACTTCCATTTTGCCATTTCACAAACTGTCTATAGTTGCCATGTCAGAGAACCACACTTGTTTAAGAAACAGTGTCTATATAGTAATGTATATCACTTGTGTACAAACTAGAGTGACTTCTCGGCGTCTGATACACTGGGAACCAGGCTGAGCGGAGATACAGTGCCTACTATCTACATCCTGTATATTTACATATCCCACTCATCCATCATCACGTACGATAGATAACCAATAGGTACTCTCAAATCCGTTCTCATCACGCGCACTCGAGCTGTCGTCAACGCGATGATCCGTATCTTGAATGTTGTCAATGGGCAGAACGATTTATTAGCGGAACGTGCAGTTTTTTCGTCGATAAGTCAGTCAAAAAATCCTAGAGAGTTGATATCATGATATAAATGAATGTAGAAGTTTTATAATCATCAAAGGAATTTGCCTTCAGCAATCATTTATCAAAAGTGTTAAATAGACGTATGGCGTTTCTTTTCTTAGACGTGATGAAAAGTGAGAAACTATTTTAAAAGTATTGAAATAATTCCGAAAGCTTTTTAGTTCGATATATTTGTGTTTTTTTTATTGGAAAAAAACAATTTACGACAGCTCAAAAAAAAAAAAAAAAACGATCGTCAGATTGTGTTCAACCCGTAGTTAACCTAGTCCATATTTAACGTGTTAACTAACTCATTAAAACGTATAACCTAACTAACCTAGGGTAGTAATAGCTGGCATGTGTGATCTGTAAAATTCGGGACTCCGCCCTATTACTTCCGGTGCGACTGACACACCTACTGATACGGGAACTCTAATATCTTTGGTATTTTATGAATCCTGGATCCGTTTGTGAAAACAACTCTAGTGCTTTACCGGTGGATAACCAGTACTGCCGGATTAAAAAAAACAAATACAGAAACAAAAACTTTCAAATGTAAATCAGATATCAAAGACATTTTCTTTTCAATCTCGCTAAAGTGTCGGTTTGGTTTGGTTTAGATTGTTTTAACGTCCTATCAACTGCTAAGGTCATTTAAGGACGGCCTCCCGATGTATACGAGGTGAGAGCATGTGTTTATATATGTATAATATTCGTGTTTTTTTATTCAATATATGTTGTTGAACTGAATTGTTACATTCTTATTTTCCTAAAAATCACTGAAAGTAGCATTTTATCGGGATTTCGGACAAAGTAAAAAAGAACCATTTTAGTAATTTGATAAAATAATTCATGATATCCTGTAGCTACCTGTAGTGTGCACGTGTGAGCCTCGATCTCATTGTGTTAGCGTGGAACGGAAGCCACATAGTGGTTGGTACCTGACCAAAACACACTGTCGTGCCAAATGACACCTTATTCGATCACATTATACTGACAAAGGTTACTACCACACTACCACAATGCTGAAGGTTCAGCAGGTAGTACCGTAATAAAGAGTTTGGTACGCCTTGTCCACGGAACTAAAGCCTTCCTCACAGGATCGAGGTTGTGACAAATGAGACACGAGGAGAAAGCTCTTTGAAAAAGAGAAAATCGTGATATGGGAACAACATTCATCTGCAGGACTGACGTGTTTGATGAAAACTATGTACTACGGATGTTGAATTCGGAGAGGAATTACCAGGTATTGTGGGAATGATTTTAAACAAGCCTGCCCACTGATAGTAGCATGCTAATAAATAATAATTCTTGAAAAAATCTTAAATTAAGTGAATATGAATTGGTCAGTCTATTGATACTATAGACTGGGTTAGTCTCTTGATACTATAGACTGGTCAGTCTATTGATACTATAGGCTGTGTCAGTCTAGTGATACTCTAGGCTGTGTCAGTCTAGTGATACTATAGGCTGGGTCAGTCTAGTGATGCTACAGGCTGGGTTAGTCTATTGATACTATAGGCTGGGTTAGTCTAGTGATACTGTAGGCTGGGTCAGTCTAGTGATGCTATAGGCTGGGTTAGTCTGTTGATACTATTGACTGGTCAGTCTAGTGATACTATAGGCTGGGTTAGTCTAGTGATGCTATAGGCTGGGTCAGTCCAGTGTCACTATAGGCTGGTCAGTCTAGTGAGTCTAGTGATACTATAGGCTGGGTTAGTCTATTGATACTATAGACAGGTCAGTCTAGTGATACTCTAGGCTGGGTCAGTCTAGTGATACTATAGGCTGGTCAGTCTAGTGATGCTATAGGCTGGGTCAGTCTATTGATACTATAGGCTGGGTTAGTCTATTGATGCTATAGGCTGGGTCAGTCTAGTGATGCTATAGGCTGGGTCAGTCTATAGATACTATAGACTGGTCAGTCTAGTGATACTCTAGGCTGGGTCAGTCTAGTGATGCTATAGGCTGGGTCAGTCTATTGATACTATAGGCTGGGTTAGTCTATTGATGCTATAGGCTGGGGTCTATAGGCTGGGTAGTGATACTATAGGCTGGGTCTAGATTTAGTCTAAGGTCTTGTCAGTCTAGTGATGATAAAGGCTCAGTTAATTGGCTGGGTCAGTCTAGTGATGCTATAGGCTGGGTCAGTTTATTGATACTAAAGGCTTGTCAGTCTATTGATACTATAGTCTTGGTCAGTCTAGTGATGATAAAGGCTGGTCAGTTAATTGATACTCTAGGCTGGGCCAGTCTAGTGATACTATAGGCTGAGTCAGTGTATTGATACTATAGGCTGGGTCAGTCTATTGATACTAAAGGCTGGTCAGTTAAGTGATGCTATAGGCTGTGTCTGTCTAATGATACTATAGGCTGGGTCAGTCTATTGATACTATTGACTGGGTCAGTCTAGTGATACTATAGGCTGGTCAGTCTATTGATACTATAGGCTGGGTCAGTCTAGTGATACTATAGGCTGGGTCAGTCTAGTGATACTATAGGCTGGGTCAGTCTAGTGATACTAAAGGCTGGATCAGTTTATTGATACTATAGGCTGGGTCAGTTAATTGATACTATAGGCTGGTCAGTATAGTGATACTATAGGCTAGTCAGTCTAGTGATACTATAGACTGGGTCAGTCTAGTGATACTATAGGCTGGTCAGTCTATTGATACTATAGGCTGGTCTGTCTAGTGATACTAAAGACTGGGTCAGTCTAGTGATACTATAGGCTGGGTCAGTCTATTGATACTATAGGCTAGTCAGTCTATTGATACTATAGGCTGGGTCAGTCTAGTGATACTATAGGCTGGGTCAGTCTAGTGAAACTTAGGTTGGTCAGTCTATTGAAACTAAAGGCTGGGTCAGTCTATTGATACTGTAGGCTGGGTCAGTCTAGTGATACTATAGGCTGGGTCAGTCTATTGATACTATAGGCTGGGTCAGTCTAGTGATACTATAGGCTGGGTCAGTCTAGTGATACTATAGGCTGGTCAGTTTAGTGATACTATAGGCTGGGTCAGTCTATTGATACTATTGACTGGGTCAGTCTATTGATCTAGTCAGTATAGTGATATAGGTCAGTCTATTGATACTAAAGGCTGGTCAGTCTAGTGATATAGGCTGGTCAGTCTAGTTTACTTGATAGCTGGTCAGTTATTGTGATAAAGGCTGGGTAGGCTGGGTCAGTCTATTGATACTATAGGCTGGGTCAGTCTAGTGATACTATAGGCTGGGTCAGTCTAGTGATACTATAGGCTGGGTCAGTCTAGTGATACTAAAAGCTAAGTCAGTTTATTGATACTAAAGGCTGGGTCAATCTAAAGGCTGTGTCAGTATAGTGATACTAAAGTCTGTGTCTGTCTAATGATACTATAGGCTGGTCAGTCTATTGAAACTATAGGCTGGACTGTCTAGTGATACTATAGGCACGTCAGTTTAGTGATACTATAGGCTGGGTCAGTCTATTGATACTATAGGCTGGGTCAGTCTATTGATACTATAGGCTGGGTTAGTCTAGTGATACTATAGGCTGGTCAGTCTAGTGATACTGTAGGCTGGGTCAGTCTAGTGATGCTATAGGCTGGGTCAGTAGGCTGGTCAGTTTAGTGATACTATAGGCTGGTCAGTCTAGTGATACTATAGGCTGGGTCAGTCTAGTGATACTATAGGCTGGGTCAGTCTATTGATACTATAGGCTGGGTCAGTCTAGTGATACTATAGGCTGGTCATTCTAGTGATACTATAGGCTGGTCAGTCTAGTGATACTATAGGCTGGTCAGTCTACTGATACTGTAGGCTGGGTCAGTCTAGTGATACTATAGGCTGGTCAGTTTTGTGATACTATAGGCTGGGTCAGTGTAATGATACTGTAGGCTGGGTCAGTCTAGTAATAGTATAGGCTGGGTCAGTCTATTGATACTATAGGCTGGTCAGTTTAGTGATACTAAAGGCTGGGTCATTCCATTGATACTATAGGTTGGTCAGTCTATTGAAACTATAGACTGGGTCAGTGTAGTGATACTATAGGCTGGGTCAGTCTATTGAAACTTAGGTTGGTCAGTCTATTGAAACTAAAGGCTGGATCAGTCTAGTGATACTTTAGACTGGGTCAGTCTAGTGATACTAAAGGCTGGATCAGTTTATTGATAGTTCAGGCTGGGTCAGTCTAGTGATATAATAGACTTGGTCAGTTCAGATATACTATGTCAGAGAAGCCTAGTCTTATGAGATTCTATCAAAAGCAGACTCTTTATGAGATATTCATTGTCAGCTTGTTTGAAAGTAGGTTCCTTTGAGATACTCCTTGTCATCTCTTTATGATACTCATTGTTACTTCAATCAAAAGTCGGCGTTAACATGATGCTGATAAAAACAATGAACTCTTATCAGGTGAAAATTCCTGTTACTGAAACTTATCTACTACATCAATTTTATATGGTCAATAACAAGTCAACACTTGAAGGCATTGGGATTCATTTTTTAATTTCTGATACCTTATGTAAGCTTGTTTTACTGGCAACATGAAATGGCCAATACATTAGAAGTATATAATACAGTGTTGTAACTTGTCATGAGATGTACTTTCTAATAATACAAGGAAACATTGTTATAGCGAAAGATGGACCAAATCACAAAACAAAAACTTCTTGATGGGACAACATAAAA